CAGTTTAGCCGAGACTGTGTGAAAGGAGTTTTCTCATTTTTGAGAACATAGATGGTGCACTAAAAAAAGTTTCTCATCATTTTTTTCACCGTTGTTTGTAACTTGACCAGTTAACTAATTTTAACTACAGAACAAAAAGTACATGGAAATTGTTCAAGGAAAGCATTCAGCATTGTTAGATATCAGCAATTCTCCAATAACGTTTATGGCTTGAAAAATACAATTTTATCAGAGTCTACAAAATACACAGAAGTGAAATAATCATCAGCATTACAGCAATTTCCTACTATAGTGCAGTATACTGGAAGTGTGCTACTGTACTTTAAACTATCAGAAACTAAACCTGTAATTGCATAAGGTCTCCATTAATGTATGTGCCTGTTATGATTTTATTAGCTGCAAAGCTGTTCTGTGGGACTTCATTACATTGTGGATGGGCTTTTATTTTACAAAACAAGATTCCAGTTTCATTTTTTTTGATAGTTCAATGTTCGTCTGCAGCAATTCCTCTATCCATATTTTAAAGCCAAATCTCATTTTGCCATGCATTGTTTTTCTCTACCTTCCATTACCATTGTTATTTATTATCTGACACTGTGGTGTCTGTCTTCTCTCTCACCCCCTGACTACAAACTCATTCGCTCTGCATTTTTATGAGCTGAGCCTGATGACTCTGTGAAGACAGAGGGGTGAGAGAACAGTCACCTATCCAAGCTTCATCAACACCTGCAAGGTTCACAACGTTGTTATTAACTCTACCCATTTGTCTGACACCAATTAGCAAAATATAGCAGCCAACTGAAAGCTGACATCTGATAAGTCAATGCAGGAGAATGGCCCTGCATTAAATGTTACAGTACCACACAAGTTTTAATTACTTTAAAACAGCATCATACTACTGCTGAATTAGTTGATTAATCAACTAATTGTCCAACTGATAAAAACAAATATTGAACAAAACAAGCAACTTGAAGATGCTATTTTGGACATTTTTTCTATTTTCACATCTTTCAGACTAAACAAATAATTAAAAAAATGATCAATAATGAAAATTGCAGGCCTCCACTATACACACCAAGCATATTAAGAGGCAGAACAAATCACAGCACATGCCCTCTCTCAACGGCTTCATCTTGTACTGTCACTGTACAGTAGTCTTTAGGGCTTTTGCCCTGGCCCGTGAGATAAGACGGTTCCACATATCAGCTGCTCAGAGAGAAGAGCAACTCTTATCTGGAACAGCAACCTTTGAGACCGCTTGCGTTGCACCACGTCGATTCAGAATCAACACAGAGCTTTCTGTCTAGATTGCTGCTGTCATAATTGTTATCAATAGGACCTCAGAACTGCTGGCTGGCAAGACGATTAATTGCTGAGGTTGCATGTTTTGTAATACTTTAAAGAAAACTGAGCCCTGCATTCTTGTGACGGGCAAGAACAAAAAATGAATGACAAACTTTATCACTGGGAACATACAAATAAGAGACATTTTCAAGCAATTTCAATGGAACAAATTCCCGGTTGATAACTATTTTGGGCTAAATCACGATGTCATCTTATTGGCAGCACCACCACTGGGTTTGCTGTTCACTGGTTTTTCCTACTGTTGTATAAAACCAGCTTATTTTCATGTGATTGGATTTATTGAGGGAAAGGAACTTTGTTGACGATCAACAACCAGTTTTACAGTGACCACCAAACAGCCAGACAGATGTGGGGTAATTGCCTCGAGCTGATAAATATTTAATCAGCAAATCCACCATTTGATCAGGCGCTGACTGAGGTTCAAAGGTCATGACATTGTTCCAGCTGCCTCCATGATGGAGCACTGTTCTCAAATCAGCAGGGGAGGTTATCTCAGCTGTAAGCAACAGTGCTGAGCTCTGTCTCGTTTTCTCCAACACACACACCACTTCAGATTGCTATACCCAAGTCTACTTAACTGCAGTGATGTGGTTTTGCAATGTCACATCTGTTGAGGTCGCTTCTGCTTTAATACAGATATTTGGACCAAAGCCCTGGTCGCAGAGTGTCACTGTAGGTTGCGTCGCCCTGCGGGTTGTACAGCTTGACAGCAAAGCAAGAAAATCCACCCTGAACTCAGATAACCTAAATCACTTGAGGAGCAAAACGAGGCTGACATGCAGTCACCAAGAATTATTGTTTAATCATAAAATAATTTACGAAATCTCACATATGCTGACAAACGCTCACGTAATCAGGGAATAATGAGGACACAACAACAGGGCAACTTACATGCCAACAAGCACTGAGGTGTTATTGTGACCAGTGATAGGGAAGATTATCTTCACTGTTTATGAGGCTCTGTAGCTGTTTGCTGCTCTTAAGGCTGTTCCAAAGATAATGCAGTTTACTGAAGTGCACAGTTAAATGTTCGGACCTGCCAACATAAGAAGAACGTGTTCCCTGGTGAAGTGCTTAACATCTGACAGCTGTTGCAACATTAAATGCTACAAGAAATTGTTTAAATTATCAAAAACGACTTTATTAAAAAGTGTGAACACACACTATACTGTGATACTTTACTACAGGTCACAATACATACTTCACATGTCCCCTCAAGAAGGACACTGTCAGAAAAGGCAATTTTATTTTAAAGGCCATTTTATGGTATTGAAACTTTACTTGTTTCCATTGTGACAGATTATACTGTATACTTTTAGTTCAGAGTAAAATATGCATTTCACTTCTCTACATGTATCTGATTGCTGTATAGACTGGGATACAAGCATAATATTTTTAAAACTGTGCCATCTTGTTTTTTGATGCTCAAGTGCATCTCACTGTTAAAAGAAACATGATTGCATTAGTTTTACTTCTCAGTATTTATTATTGTGACTTTTTCGTGAAATATTTTGATGCTTTTTCCACTACTGGTTTTAAATAATGACTAAGGTATTGAACTCACTCACTCAGTCTCTGGTGAAAGAATCTGCACACATTTGATTGGTTGCATCTATTTTCTCATTTTAAAATGGAAATGAATCGGTCATGATACTGTGCTTCAAATATAAGACACCAGATATGTACAGACCACCTTCATCATAAATAAACAAAAAGGCTGAGTTGAGTTAAAAAACTAACATTGGGCCTGTCCATTATTTAGTTTTGTGCGTAGGTGTTGAGTTGATAATCTGAGTTTCAAGGCCTGTTTGTAATTCTAAAGCTACCATTGCCTAAGATGTAGAGGTCATTCACCCTGATACTAGAACCAAACCACCCACACTATAAAACAAACACAGGATGGGAAGAAGTGTCATTCTTACCTGAACACATACATGTCCAAAAATTCTGGTAGTTTTTCAGTACCTATTATTTAGTCCTACATAAATATTAGATAATACATGCGCTATCTGATTTGATTTAGCTAATAAATGTAACAATTTTTTTGATTTGCATATAATGATTTTATTATAGCTCCATCTATTTTACATTATTGTTCATTTTATGTCTTTTCAATGTGAAGCACTACTTCATTATTATTATTGTTGTTGTTCTTGTATTGGAAACTTGGTGCATTATTGGCACTACATTAAACCAGAGATGTAATTATTTCCTCAATTCAGTGCATCACCTCAGCAGCTACTATGGACCAGAGACTACTTGTTAAGTGAACTACTTATGTTGCATCCGTCCTCCCCTTATCTGCCCTCTTGTGGTTGAGAAGCCAAACTAATTTAGTGCAATTTCTTTGAAGCTATAATCCTACACTGTGTGAATAATAAACTGGATAAAAATTGAAATTATTGATTAAGCTTGTAGACAGGAAACTTGTTCTTATTTACTTTGCTGTAGACAACAGTCAACAATGGGTTGCACAAGAGAGGCATCAACAATCTGATATCACACTTTGGCTCTGGGACAGAACAAATGCATCATTTAGCATCACAGTGTTAATGCAACCCCTCACTGTGAGCTGTGAGTGAGAGGCTTGGGGGACAGAAGGTGCTGTTTGACACACCACAGGGATCCTTACATTCAACTTCCCTTACAATAAAACATGCATGTAATTTTACCTTTGATGCTTGATTTAGTGGATTTTAGGGTGTCATAAAATGCTTACTGTCTTTGAATTAAGAGAACTCTCTCCTCTCCAGTTAGATTAGCAACATCTCTGGAGGTCAGTATAGCAGCTGCGGAAAATCAAAGCTCTGGTTACTATGATGTGATGGTGATAAGAAAATGGCTGTGGTTTCTACACAGAGTAAATGCTTCCTCTTTAATGCAATGTGCCCACTGAATAAGACATTACAACAGGACCAGCTGCTGCCTACAGAACTCTGAGCTAAAGAAAGACGTGGTGGAAAGGAGACTAAGACCTTCCCTGTGCTCCTTTTATGAGGAGATGGCAGAAATAACTATGACACATAAACATATCTGTCTTCACACATAGAATTATTTGCTAAATGTAAACCTGGATCTGTGAAGGGTATTCTAGAGCCTTCATTGAAAACTAATTTCCTACAAAATACACCTACACTTGGAAAGTGGTATTTTAGGCATTGTATTGTAGTTTAAGTATAGATGGAGAACGTACTGTGAGTGGTGCTTTCATGTAGAGTACAAAATATTATGCGCGTACGATCACCCAGGACCCAATCAAGTGGAAGACAAATAAACGGACATCTCATATTACTCCATTTCATCACGGGTAGTTGTTATCGCTTCACATGAGATGTGAGTAAGATGTGCCAAATGTGAGTAAGATGTGCCTTTCCATTTTGAATGCACTGATATTGTTAAATTAATTTTATTTAACGCAACATATTTAACAATATGTTGACGAATAAGGAGATTACGAGGATTCATGAACGCCGCATACGGCTCAGCCAGTCAGAGCCACAGTTCCATCGTCAACAGGAAACGGGGGAAGCGTCCTTGGAGATGTTGTTAGTGGTGTAACTTTCGCATCTTTCTCCACTCTGCGTACACGGTGTCTGTGTCAAACAACTGACAACCCATCGATAACGCCACAAAGGCTCATGAGAAAACGATTAAAAGTTTGGAAGGTAACTCCCTTATCACAATTAAACTATTCTCCTACTAGGTTGAGCTAACGTTAAGTAGCTAGATGGCGCCCAGCTAATGTTGAAGTTAGCTGAGATGCTAGCTTCATTAGCTCATCCCTTTCCTTGCTGCCCACGCGTTAAAATCATTTAATGTCGATATTTTTCGTCTATCGAGATGTTAATTTGACTTTACTGCTGCACAGTTTCTCACGTTTAATAATGTGCTTTATAATAAGCCCTCGCTGCTTTGTCTAGCCAGACGCGAGAAGTTAATTTGTTAATCTCATTAGCTGAGCATAATGGCAAACAGAAATCCTCAGTTTTCCCTCAGAAAGCAGGGCGTATTCTGCAAACTACAGTGAGGAGCTGAGGCGACGTTGTGTAGTTGTCTGCCATCGTTATAATATTTACCGCATATCTCCCTTTCTTTTGCCAGTCATCCCCTTGTGCATTTCCCCCTGTGTCTCTGCAGTAACCATGACTGCAGCTGCTCTCATTGGAGACCAGCTGATCCTTGAAGAGGACTACGATGAGAACTATATACCCTCTGAACAAGGTACACAGGGGTCAGGGTAATAGACCTGGGTACGGTAGCAGGGAGGAGCAGGATTATAGAGGAGCAATATGGGAAGCTTGCAGCATTATTGTGCTTAATTTACACTGCTTATGTATTCATATAAGACTGTTGTATCATGGGGTATTTTTGGGTTCCTCACTCTGCCTAGGTGAGCTGTTCAATTCACAAATCTACAGCACTGTATGCTACATTACACTGTAATGTACCTCTATGGCATTGAGATCATCTCATATCATTATATTTCCCTCTTTATCATCAGAGATCAAAGAGTACGCAAGAGAAATTGGCATTGATCCCGACAGTGAGCAGGAGCTCCTGTGGCTGGCCAGGGAGGGCATCGTTGCCCCTTTGCCTCCTGAGTGGAAGCCTTGGTAAGTAAAGGCAGAGAGGCTGGGTAATGAACTCAGGGCAGCACACCCATCCACAGAAAACAAACCTGAACTGTGATCACTATGATCTGGGGTAGAATTGTGTTGTGTCCACATGGGTTTAGAGGGCTTGGTGTTGTTGTAAACGGTCAGGGTGATGCTGAAGGAGGCCCGTAAGACAGAAGATGTCAGAATTTCATGTATGTTGCTTTGAGTGTTTTTGACAGAAATTTAGTGCAGCAGTGTTTGTGTCCTTGCCACTAATCAAGGGTGAAGGTCTGTTCTTGACGCTTGAAGTTGGAGGCGTGTAGCAACCTTCCATCAACAAAATCTCCAGGGAGATGTCAGCTGCAGTGAAACTGTCTAAATACTGTCTCTTACATCACAATATAGGTTTTGTGTATTTCAGCTTTAATCTAATGTGTTTGCACCAATAATAAAATGGATTTTATTGTGAGAAAAACTAATGATTACTAATTAAACAAAAACCATTATACAGTCATTATTATGAGAACTAATTAAACAGTTGTAATCTGTTATGGTCTAATAAATCTTAGATATGGTTATATAGCATTAAATAGTTCATTTGGTTCAGTGTTAAGTTTCAGGTGACAACACAACCTCTGGTGACATCTTTCCATTCACCTACCCATCCTCCCGTCATCTCACCTTCCCTTTCCTGGGCCTTTTTGGAGGTGCTGAAGTGACCCCCCTCCTCTCCCCCCTCCTCCCCCGCAGCCAGGACGTGACAGGGGACATCTACTATTTCAACTTCTCCACGGGCCAGTCCACCTGGGATCACCCCTGTGACGAGCACTACCGCCGCCTGGTGACTCAGGAGCGTGAGCGCGCCCAGCTCACGGCCGCCGCAGGAGGCACAGGGGCGAAGAAAGACAAGGACAAGAAGAAGAAGAAAGAAAAGAAGGAAAAGAAAGAGAAAAAGAAAAAGGAGCCACTCAAGACTCCTGGAGTGAGTGGTTGTTTTACTTTTCCACAGTTTTAATATATTCTCTGTTTTTCATGTTACTACCTATACCTATGACTATTGCAGCATCAGAATATAGAAGACAAAGCATAAAAGTGAAATTCATTCTTTAACAAATATAATAAATTATTGTTGCTAGGAGATATCAAAATCCTTTGACACATCTGGTTGGCAATTTGTATGCATGGAAAAAAGGTAGCCTCAAAGTAAAATGATGACAAACACAGCAATGATAACAGTTGACATTCTCTTTTTGACTTGATTGGTTTTGTAAATTTTTCCCTGGGAATGCTAAATCTTACACTGTGCAGCTGTAAACTAATACACAAGCAAACATGACATACTAAGACATACTAAGACTTGCTGTCAACAAATTATCAATATTAATTGACTTGATCTGAAGATCCCTGATCAACTATCGTGGGGATTCTAACTGTAATTAATTATTTACGTCTTGCTGATGTTTGAAAATTCTTGGTTCTAGATGCTTACTTTTTTGACTGTGTCTCTTTCTCTGTAGGCACTGACTTCAGCCTTGGGGCCGTTACCGTCCCCGCTGGGCAGCCTGGCTCCTCTGAGAGGTCTTGATGCCCCTGGCCCAGGCCCACTCTCTGGGCCTGTCCCTGCTCTCCGAGGGTCCCTCAGCAGCTCTGGGGGGCTGGAGCCCCTCAAGACTTCCCTAGGGGTAAGATCCTAGTGCTAAATGAAGGACCATTTGATGTGCCTTTGAGTGTATACCCTCCCTAACCCTTACAGTATATACTATACTCGCATTTTGCCTCTGTCAGGGTCTTCGAAGCAGTGGGGCATCTAGTGTTTTAGGCAGCAGGCAGGAGGAGAGAGTGTCCCTTACTCTGCCTGGTTTTGATGATGACAATGATGAAGACAAAATCTCAGAAACTGAGGTACAGTGCAACCTGAAGACAAGATAATGAAAATAACTGGTTTAGCTGCTTACAGATTCTAAACCTTTATCAAACTGGACCTTGTCTTTTTTTCAGCCGAGTCCTCGTGGTTCAGACAGGCTATTGAAGAACCTCCACCTGGACCTGGATGCTCTTGGAGGAGGCCTACAGTATGAGGTAGAAAGAACAATTTGCTCCCATTAGCACTGACCATTTACTCTATTGTGAAAGGAATCTTATACAGAGAAACAGCTGCTGCAAAATAACATTTTGAGCAAGGCTTGTACTGAAATATTTCAGGCTAGTAATTCTCTTGTATAAAAATAACGATGTTGGCCATTCAACACCTTCTACCTTTGATAAGACTGATATTGATTCAGTTTGTTGGATCACATATTTATTCCAGAAGTGTACACTGCTTTTAGGTATGTTTCTTACTTAATGGTTTATCAGCTCCAGTGTATGTGTGCGCTCTAGGACAGTGAAGACAGTGGTCGAGCTCCACCGGAGGAGAGGACAGAGCCGGAGCTGCAGGACTTGGCCCTGTCTGGAGAACACAGCCCTGAACCACCGTCCCAACAGGTAAAAACACACACACATCCTTTTGTGCTGTAGCTCTCTGCTTTGTTTTGTTGTAACTTGCTCACACTGGTTTCTATTTAAACATTCAAAATATAATCTCTCTGCCATGTCTGTGTTCTGTATGTAACACTTGTTTTTCATCCTGTGAATGGCTGCTTTGTTATAGTTACTGTGGTTACTTGACTTGAATAGCACATGATTTTACAGGATTTTAGAAGAACTACACTGGCATCCAAGGTATATTCATAATTTTGGATGTTAATACTGTATTTCTATCTTTAAACCAGAAATTTTTGTAGAGGACCAGAATATATTCTGAAGAGAAGGGGTTTTCTTTCCTTTCCTTCCTTTCCTCTGGTAGATCTGCAGTCTCTGAGTAGAATTCACACACACACACACACACACACACACACACACACACACACACACACACACACACACACCACTTTTACTTATACTTTATTTAATGACAAGAACAATAATGTTTGGTGTACTGTCGATGCTGATATATACAGTAGTAGGTTTACATATGTTTTTAAGTTGGAGGGAATCTAATTTGTTGTTTTTGTGTGTCATTGCCATTGTGGGCTTTTCTTGTTGTCTCATATAACTGTGATTTCTAAACCATCTGTTATTCCTTCTCTTTCTCTTGTGTGACCTCTTTGACCTTTGACACCTCTCACCTTTGCACCATGACCTGGGATGTGCTCATGTAGCTGCTGTGCTGCTGGGACCTGTCCTATGGGCATGGCTGTTACTGTGTCTTCCTGTTTGTCCTGCTGTCTTCCTACTGTCACTGTTACTGCTTTGCTGTCTGAAACTGAATACCAGGAGCATGTTGTCATCTCCATCAAAAAGACAAATACTAGAATTTCTCTCTGTGTCTTTATCACCACTGGGGTAGACCAGAACAGCTGCCCACTATGGTCATCAGTTCTTGATCATTTAGTCTCTTACCTCTACCCAAAGTCAGTAATACATTTACCCTTTGCTCTAAAATTACACAATGTCCCAGTTATTTAGCAGAGCTAATGCATGTAGATTCACTTTTTTCTTCTCTACGTACATTATGGCATTTTTGGAGGGAAAACACTGAAGCAAGGAAATCACATTTATCAAACAAAGCTGCCACTGTGTGTGTGCCTGTGTTTGTGTGTGAGAGATTCCCAGAACAAGAAAATTTGTATACTTGTCTTTGCATACATACATTTTTTTTTTTTATCGTTTGTCGTCCTAATTAGTTTATTATGTGCGGGTTGTCTAACATGACTAATTTTGTCCCCATAAAATGCACGTGCTGTCTGGTTTGCATGCAGTTGTGTCAAGATCATAACCCCCCCACACACCGTCTTTCAGGGCGGGTAGGGGGACACAATCTTTTTGTCTGCCTCCTTTCCTCACCTTCCCTCCTCCATCCTTTCTCTCCCTTGTGTCTCTGCACGCCTTCCATTGGTCTTCCTATTCCCCTCCACGAAGGACTCTTTGAGGGGCCGCCACCTCCACATGTCCCCACTTACGGGCAGCAAAGACCATGTCAGTGAAGAGGGGGCCAGTCCTGTCAGCCCAGAGCCTGAACACTCTGCTGAACACTCAGCACAGGAGGTAGCAGAAGACTTGAATGAAGTGGAGGAGGAGGAGGAGGAGGAGGAGGAGGAGGGAGGAGGAGAGTTGGAAGATGGAGATGTTCAAGGGGAGAAGGGAGAGGATGAGGGAGGAGGGGAAGTGGAGGAAGGAAATGAGGATGATGATGAAGAAGCTGATGGAAAATGCAAAGAGGAGAAAGATGAGATGGAAGAAGAGCAGGGAGAAAGTAAAGCGGCTGTAGAAAGCAAGAAAGAGGAGGAGGAGATAGTAAGCGACGAGATAGAGGAGGAATGCTGTGAAGGTGAGGATGAAGAGAAAGATGAAGGGGATGGTAGAGTGACAGAAAACAGGAAACACAGTGAGAAGCAGGAGAGTAATGAAGGAGAGGAGGATGACAGCGATGAGAAGGTAGAAAGGTGTGTTGAAAGCCAGGGTGATGAGACAGAAGACAAAGAGGAGAATGTGGAGAGTGATGAGGCTGTGCAGAGTTTAAAGGAGGAGGAAATTGAGATGCAGGGAGACATGCAAGAAGTAGAAGAAGAAGCGGAATTTGAGGAAGATAGCGATGAAGTTGTGGAGAATTGCTTTAAAGGTGATAAAGATGAAGGGAGTGAGGAGGACAAAAATTACAGAGATGAGGTCGAGAGGAGCATGAATGATGAAGAAGCGCAGAATGAAAGTAAGGAGGTGGATGAAAGTAAGGAAGAAGAGGCAGAGGCGAACAGTGAAGGAGAGCTAGAGAAGGAAAAAGAGGGGGAGGATGGTGAGAGTGAGGAGAGACGCTCCCTGAGCCAGAGGAATCTGACGGAGAGTGATGAAGAGATCTTGGAGAGATGTGTGATGAGCGAAGGAGGGGAAACCGAGAGGGAAGGGAAGGATGTGGAGGATGAATCAGTTGCCCAAAAATCCCCCACAGCATCGGAGAGTGAGGAGGAAGTCATGGAGGTTTTCAAGATGGAAACGGCTCAAGTCCAACCAGCCAAGCTTGACCAGGAGGTTAAAACACTTGCCCGAAAGAGAAAAACTCTCGCTGACGAGACGAAGAGTGTGACAAAAAAATACCTCCTTCCTGCAGAGGTAGGGTTCGGTGTTGCCTCTGTGCGTGCTCACCCCCTCCCATCCCTGCCCAACCCCACCCTGCTCCTGCTTGACCTCTTCAAGCATGCACGGATACATGCAGATCCCCAAATCCAACTCCACTGCCTTAGGGGCTGTGTCATCCTCTGTGATTCCCTGTCTGGATCTCATCGCCCACACCCTGGAATATAAATTGGTAAAAGGGTCTAAATCTATTCGAGCCCCTGAGGACTGGATTGGACAGTTCTCAATCTGATCCCTCTTCCCATTAGCAGTTCTTTTACACTGGCGGTTGATTTGGAGCAATTTGACCAGAAACAGGATATCATCTCCTGCCATCGCCTCCTGCATTTTTAGAGTCTGCTTGCTTGACTGTCTGATTGTGCAGTCTGCCTGCCAGCTCACCGGCCTTTGTTGTGTTTGCATGTACACTCTGCTTTTACCTCATGCTGCGTGTGTTTCTGTGTCTCTTTGAAAAGACAGTGTGCTTTGATGTTCTGTGTTGCTTGTGCAATTTTTTTGCTTTGTGTTCATTCAGATCTGTTACCTTGTCATTGAGTGTGTGTGCGTGTGCGTGTGCATGTGTGTGTTTGTGTGTGTTACTGCAGGAGTCTGACACCAGTAAAAACATTGAGGAGGCTTCATCCTCCATAGATGTCAAGGTAGTCATATCATGCAGTGTGACACCCATCCATCACCACCATTCACTCATTCATTCATTCATTTAACTGTTATTGTCGACCGGTCTCTTAATGGTTCTGGTTCTGTATCCTAAAGCTGTCGGAGAAGGTTCTGGACATCAACGAGCTGTCTGGCACTGTCAGTCCACTGGAGAAAGATGACAGACAGGAAACAAAAGAAGAAGAGGAAGAGGAGAATGAAGAGGAGGCAAAGACAAAGGCAAAGGCTGCGGAGCCTACCAAGAGGTTTCTTGTTTTAATATTATTACTACTGTGCTTAGACTAGGCTGCATTATACTTATGAGAATTATCTTTTGAAGAAGTGTGTCCCTGTGTCTTCAGAATAAAATTGTGTCCGATATTAGGATAATTTATTTACCTTGGAACAACTATAACAGTGGTTTTCAAACCTTTTCACATCAAGGACCCCTAAACTGACAAATTAGACCATAGACCCCCATCTGATAAGACCCCTGGGGGTCCCCTGACCCCACTTTGAGGACCACTGTGCTATAATACCCCCCCCCCCCCCCCCTCTCTCCTCAGGCATATGCTGGCTGAAGACAAAGGCAACTGTCTAGACCATAAAGTTGACCGACTCGTCCTGCACCAGTCCAGCCCTTCACCCACCCTCTCGAGCCCCTCCCACTCAGAGCGAGGTGTTGAGCTTCAACCAAAAGCTGAAGGTTTTGGTATTTCTTTGGGGCTCCAGAGGCCTGAAACCGCCAGAGGTCGGCTGGTCCGCACTTCCAAAACCAGACTCGAAGATGCTGAACCCTCCTTAAAAAACCAAGACAACTCACTGGACGAAGAGCCAAGCTGGAGGGTCCGAAAAGACAGAGAGAAGAAAGAGAGGGAGGAAGAGGAGGAGAGGAAGAGGACAGAGAGAGAGGAGAGGAGTCTGAGAGAAAGGAAGGAGGAGGAGAAGGAGAGGGAGAGGAGACAGGCCGAACGGGAGGTGGAGGAGAAGGATAGGGAGAGGCGACAGGCCGATCGGGAGGCGGAGGAGAAGGAGAGGGAGAGGAGACAGGCCGAACGTGAGGTGGAGGAGAAGGAGAGGGAGAGGAGACAGGCCGAACGGGAGGTGGAGGAGAAGGATAGGGAGAGGAGACAGGCCGATCGGGAGGTGGAGGAGAAGAGGAAGCGATTGATGAGGGAGAAAGAGAAGAGAATAAGTCTCCTCCAGGAGGAGCTGAGGCAAGAAGAGGAGGAGGAGGAGAAGAAACTGAAGGAGGAGAGCGAGGAAAGACTGAGGTAAGCATTGAGAGTATAATACTCCAGTCCTCAACAAACCTTTGCTGCTTTATTACATCACACTCACCTATCAAGTCATAAATATACACATTAAAGTGATTCCTTTAATTAGGTTTCACCTAAACACACCTACATTTTACTAAAATGTGTGCATGTAATGTGTCTCCCCAGGGCTCTGCAGCAGCGTCTCCTGTCTAAGAGGAGAGAGGAGGAGGCCAGGCTCACAGAGGAGTCTGACAGGACACTGGAGGAACTCAGAGAGTCTGTCCAGAGCGAGAGGGAGAAGCAGCAGCACAAGCTGAGGTCAGACATGTACATTAACACATAAAACAAAGGTGCACTAGAGCAGTGGGGCTAAACTCCTGCTTTATAGAAAATCCTTTAAATATGCTGATCATAAATGAGTTGCAGTTAATCACCTGTAGTGTAATCCCCAAATTACCATTGTATGTATGTGTGTGTCCTGTGCTCAGGGAGGAGAGTGATGCCATGCTGAAAGAGTTACATATCACTCTAGAGGAAGAACGAGCAGCGGAGTGCGACAGGCTGGAGGCCCAGAGGAGGACGGAGACTGAACGTCTGCAGGCAGAGCTGGAAGAGGAGCTGCAGGCAGAGAGGAGGAGACTCCAGAGAGAGAGGGAAGAGAAGCTGAACTCTATGAAACACGAGGTGAGTGAGGATGATGCTGGTCTGTCTGGGGCCCAGCTCCTCATTTTTTTATTTTATTCTCTTTTTGTTGTTAAAATTTCAGTGTTTAAATGTTGTTTTTACATCTGACATGAGAAGGCTTTTCTGCTTGACTAATGAGGGATGTTTCATTCCAATCAAACTGAAGCAAAGGCTAAACACAAACACTAGCAACAGCAAATAGCTTGATAAACATCTATTAGTCCAGTTGCCTCTTTAGAGGAAATCAATACAACTGAAGTTTAATAAATTTCAAAATTCAAATACTGTCACTGAGTGAAAAACACATGATTCATTGAGCTTCCTGATGTAGGCTAGATCTAGCAGGTTGGCGTATTAACCTGGATCCCTGTTTCCAGGGATTGTGAGTCAGTGATTTGACATAGAAGTTCCTCCTGAAAAGAGTTGAAATGAAAAGCTCACAAAAAGTTTGTGCTACAAAACATTAGGTTATATTTTTAATTTTGTCCATGCTATTTCTATTTTTATTTGTCGTATTATATAAAGGAATATGTTTCATCGAAAAGCAAAAGCATCGTGTTTTGTTTTGGATTTTTTTTTCATTGAGAGAATTGTTTTTTTTCTTTTCTAAGTGGAAGAGTACCAACACTTTTAGCCACATCTGTAGGTGAGTGTGATTAGTCAGCATCATGAAAGGCATTAACTGAATATAAACTTTTAGATTGTTTGAAGGTGTAATATTTATATAAACACCAGACATAACTGGAAACGACACCTGAAGCAAACATTTTTTTGTTTGTGGTATTTTGATGGTACGCTGTGGTACTGGACTTGAGGCACAAAGTTTAATGATCCGTGTAAATGTGTGTCTGCCTCTGTGTTTGCACTGTTTTGTACGTATAAAGGTCAAAAGCATCGAGAGGAGGAGGGAGCTGATGGCGAGTCCACGACCTGAACAGCACCTGGCAGAGTACCACCGAGAGGTTAGATGACACCCACACACACACCCGCACACACACACACACACACATTCTGGACAGGCAGGATTACATCATCACCGTGTGGATTGCTTTCTGAATATATACTAAGGCTTGGAGTTGAAGTATATTTTCATACATTTTAGAGAATATAACTTTTTGTGCTGTAAGCTGAGCGTGTCTTCCACTGCGTAGCTGGCTGATGTGCTCCAGGAAGTGCGGGAGGAAGTGCAGCGCGATCACGAGAGGAAGCTGGAGCAACTGAAGGAGGACCACCGGAGAGAGATGAACAATATCAGAGAAAAATACCTGGATGAGGTCAGAAGGTTTTTAGATTTTACGCTTAGCTGATGGTTTTTTCAACACAGTTAAACTGGAAAAGGACAAGAACCCGGAGCATTGACGCAGCTTGGTTCTCTGTTCGTAGAAGAGCTAATGATAGTAACTACTAAACTAAAAACTGATATGTTCAGTTTTTGACGTGTGTGTGTGTGTGTGTGTGTGTGTGTGTGTGTGTGTGTGTGTGTGTGTGTGTGTGTGTGTTCCAGGAAACCACTCAGAGGGAGCGCTTGCTGTCCACTCTGCAGGAGGACAGAGAGCGTCTCCAGGCCTCCCATGCTGTTCAACTGGAGAAACTCCGGCTACAGCTCGACATGCAGATACAAAAGAAACATCTTACACACACGCGCAAGGTGAGACAGGACAGATGCACCGATTTACCAACGATAAGATAAGATAAGATGTACCTTTATTGATCCCCCGTAGAGGAAATTCTGATTAGTTGTACCTTTGGGACTCCTTTCCACTTGATATCACAGTTTGATACCAAGTGGAAAATTTGTAGAGTGGTTTGTAGATCTAGATATATTTAAGTGGATGGTTTACACTTGTACCAGATAATAGAACACGCTTTCAGTCTAGCCAATGGAAGCCTTTTCTTCTTAACTCTTCATGTCCATCTGTGAAAATTTAGTAGCACAGACACACAAAAACACAAGAGTAAATCTGGCTTGTTTCTTCATAAAGGAGTCAGAACTGCAGGATCTGGCAGATCAGATAGAGCTGAGGGCCAAAGAGCTGAAGAGCCAGGAGGCCATGCTGCAGACCAAGGTCCTGCTTCCCAACCCGTATGTACTATTGATCACCATTACACTAACCTGAACCACATGGACTAATTATTTCTGTGTCTTATCAGGTAGCAGATCTTAAGAGAAGGAGGAAGAAGCTTGGGGAGGAAGAGGGGGAGGTGGACAGACAAATAGAGGTGTGCAGTCCCACTTCTACTCTGACAAGAGATCAAATTCACCCTCGCCTCCAATTGCAGTATCAACCAACTATTTCCCCTCCTGTGTGTGTGTGTGTGTGTGTGTGTGTGTGTGTGTGTGTGTGTGTGTGTGTGTGTGTGTTTAGACCTTACCCCGGCTGATCCAGGAGAGGGACCAGCTGCAGGAGGAGCTGGACAGGATGAGAGAGGAGAAACACCAAGCCCGAGAACTCATCCAGAGAGCCAGGGAAGAGGAGGAGAGGCTGAGAGAGGAGAGAGACAAAGCCAGAGAGGAGTGCAGGAGAGCGAAGGAGGACAAAGAGAGGCTGGAGAGCAAGGTGACGCTGCTGCAGGAGAGATGCGACCGTCTCAGCCGCAGAGTCAGGTACAGTTTACCTACACGGGACACTGACACACCCTAAAAGGAGAAGTTCTCTCCAAAACAAGACGGACACAACAGTCGCAACAAAAAAAGCTGTTGACCATCTTGATTTGATTTATACTTCTGCTTCTCAGTCTTTCATATTTTGTAGGTTAACTGGTAGTAATTATTGGTATGTGACAGAGTATTGTGGAAAAAGTCATCCTCATACTTAAGAGTTTTGTTCACAGCACACTTGTGTAACTGAGGAAACTGCGTACTTTTGTCCATTTTGCTCGTTCAGTGAGTTGGAACAAGGTGAAAGAGCAAGTGTCTCCCCCAGACAAGAACCTAAACATGACAAGAAGGAGGAGAAAACAGAGGTGACGGCGCCCTCCAGTGACAAGAGAGATTCATCACTACATGTAGAAGACCTGGACTCACCAGTCTCCCCTGTGCCTGACAGCCAGAGCAGCATGGACGAGTAAGGACAGACTTAGTTTTAATGTTTCTCTAATGGTTTACTGAAAATTGATAAGAAATTACTGATAGTAGGGAAGGCTAAGGCCTATCTGTCTAAGTATCTAATAAGTGGTCAGTGTTTTAAATGGGAATCTATGAGCACAGGGCACAGTGTATATCTACCTTCAGTCCACATGCCCACACCTCCATGTGTCCAGGTTCCGACACTACATCTCCTCACACGGCGCTTCCATCCAAAAAACCAAACTCTTCCTGGAAAGGGAGAGCAGCCGGCTGATGGAGAGACAGGCAGCTCTGCGGGCGGCCCAGTCCACCTCCTCTCAGGATCCCAACCATGAAGGAGGGGTGACTGAGGAGATGATAAGAAACCTCATGCAGGTAGGGCGGAGTGTCACCCACCTCCTGAAGAATAATAACTGGTGTTACGGCTGGCGAGATGGGGTTGATTTAGAGTAAGCGTCAAGTGGTGGTTGTTTTTTCACTCACTGTCAGGAGGCCAGAAATGTGGCGGAGCTGCAGCAGACAGTTCAGAGGGGGAACTCTCTCCTGCGGAGGAAAGAGGAGCAGCTTCAGCAGCTGGAGAGCTCGATAGCTGAGGAGGTCAGGAGAAAACATCAGACTGGATGTGCAGTGTTTCAGAAAACTTACTTAAAGTGATACTTCACTTCAGTTGAGCATTTTCATCAACACTCATCCCAAAACAGTAAACAAGAAAAGTTATAAACATGCTCAGGTTTAGTAGTTTTCTTTGCTGTCTCTGTGGCAACAGGAATATTTTTTGCTTCTTGTAATTTGTCATCATTTACAAAATGTAATAAAGTTTAACTTAGTTTACTGACGGTATGACCAAGATTTAGTTATACATACAGCAACATCTGATTTTAACTGCGTTCTGTCTTGTTATTTTGTTCGTTCAGCCTCTGTTTGACAATCTGTCTCGGCTGGGGGGAGAAAGGAAGGTGACCTTTGATGTGACTGAGTCAGACCTCAGCAGCACTGTGGATCCACCAGATGGGACAGGTAACACATACTGGTCATTGAGTGTAGAGCACAGTAGAATCAGCTGCTCTTTAAAGTAAAAATAAAATATAATGAACTAACCATACATTTCTTTTAATTTATCTATACTATTTGTATATACTATATACAGATAATACCTAGACAAATACTGTAGGTAAACTATACCTGTTGTCTGTTATCTCATCTCTACACCTCTTCTCTTCTCCACCTTGCTCTTTTATCAGGAGCTCATCCCACAGTCCCAGCCAAAGTCCAGGAGTTAGCAGAGTCCCTGCAGCAGATCTCGGGCCAGCTCAACACCGTCCTGAGTGCACTGGGTTCACTAGCTCAGAGGCAGAGTACTGCGCCTTACACAGCCTTCCCTATGTCTCTGTCTCAGCCTCACTCCACTCCAGCTCCCACCTCTGCCTCCACCTCTTTCCCAGTCATGCCCCAGATGCACAGCCTGGGCCCCAGCTCCTTAGCCCCACCTCCCCCAGTGAGGCTCTCAGAGCCATCTTGGAACTGGGTGCCTCAGGGTAACTCGGCAGCCACCCCTCTCTACAGCACCCCCATCAGCAGTGGGCTGAGGGCCTCTGAGGACCTCATCAACAGCCGATGGAGCCAGATCTTCCCTGGTATGCTGACTTCTGGGTCATTCTGCTTATAAATGAGTGAAGCACCAATAAATGTTAAAAGGGGTTTTATCACCAGTGTTGGTCCTGAACTGTTGCTCTATTCTCCAGGAGCAGGTTTGGACCCAATCACCTCCAGCACCTTGAGGACCTCCTCAGCCTACCCATCATACACTCCTGTTAGGTAAGCTGTAATACAGCATAATTACATTGTACATACACACCCTCACTTTCTCAAATAAACTTAAAACAGTCCAAAAACTCTGTGTGTGTGTGTGTGTGTGTGTGTGTGTCTGTCTGTGTCTGTGTCTGTGTCTGTGTCTGTGTGTGTTGCAGTGAACACAGTCGAGGCCTGCAGTCCATGCAGAAGTCAGTGGAGGCGGACGGCCAGAGACTGCAGGGGCTGATCGACGGCAACAAGAGGTGGCTGGAGATGCGCAAGAAAGACACCAGCATGTATCCTTTTGTCACACACACTTACACACAATAAATGTGTGGTACCACATGAACAGCACACAGAATTCAACCTCATATAGATAGATTAAAATAAAATAGATTAAAACTAAATTAATTTTATTATTTTATTTATCTTTCACAAACTAATTTTATTTTTTCAAAACTGCTTTAATTTCCTGTGTGTGTGTGTGTGTGTGTGTTCCTGTGTGTGTGTGTGTGTGTGTGTGTGTGTGTGTGTGTGTGTGTGTGTGTGTGTGTGTGTGTGTGTGTGTGTGTGTGTAAAATCAATGGAACAATTGTGTGGCTAGCTTAATAGAAGTCCGGCTCTGTTATTTATTGATTTTCAATTATGATTTTGACTTGTCTAATAACCTTTTACGTCTTCATATTATTTCTAAAACACACCATCACATGTCAGACAGTGTTATGACTGTCATTGTCCTTAACTTTTCCAGACCTCTGTTCACTCGCTATCGGGCTCCATCCACTAAGAGCGGCCTTGTCCAGCTGGGACTGGACGATAACAACCAGATCAGAGTCTATCATTACTGAGGACATGACGCACAGTTCAGTCTGGCTGTACAGTGACTGTCACCGAGGACTTTGACTGACTTTAACGACTGTGACAAGTCAGTGCTGTGACGTTTACACGCAGGGCCTCACGTGAGTGCCCTGTGCCCTCTGTGATTCATTCCTTAGGTTTTCAGGGAAAACCCGGCCTCCTCCACTGTGATTGGAGGAAGAGCTGACTGCAGAGGATATGGCAGTTCAGGGGGCCACATGTCACAGAGGGCTGAGGACTTTTATCCTCCACATCAGATACCTTTTAAAGCACTTCCGTGTCATGTTTACAGATATAAGCTCCATGCCAGACTTGGGTCAAACACTTTTTTAATGATTTAGTTCACATTGATGTCAGGTGGCCGTTTGTAGGAGAATCACAGAGAAGCATCTTCATGTCTACTTGGAACACTCCTTTATTACTGAAACCTTTCCATACGTCATCTAATTTGTCTTCTCGTGAACTCCAGACTTAACACTTAAAAACATGCTTTGAAGATGCACAGAGGTCAACTTCCATTACATGATGTTATATTTGTATTTATGCCACTGGTTTTGTAAAGGACTTGTGTGTGAACTTCTTCGATTCTTGTCATTTTAGCCTTTCAGAAACAGATTCAATCACTATTTTTGTAAAGGTTAAGACAGTCCACTTTTATTTTGTATACTTTTCCATATTCTCTCAAACAGAGATGTAGTACAGCAGTTGTCGTTAGCCGTGGCTAGTGTAAAATTTAACATATGCAGTCAGAAAAATGTCCTCTGTGCTTATAAATTTGTGTAAATACTGTATTTTTCTATGAAATATTTTAATAAATCTAATTTTATATATATGTATTCATGAATTTCTTAGGTACTGATCCTGGTTTTTTTTGTGCGTAGTCGGTTGTTGGTGTAAGTTCATGTATCCTGATTATAATTTGTTAATATCTGGTTTACAGCTTGGTGTCATCGTCAGAAAAAGCAGAAAAGAGCAAAACAACGTACAAACACATCTGAAAATGAGACCTTTATTCAGTAACTGCTGATTGCAACATTTGACATTAAAATCCTTTTTTCATACAGTACAGTGCAAAAAATACGTTCGCAGTCGAGACTTGAGGGCAGTCGAGAATTAAATACAATCATCATCGATATTCTCCAATGAGAAGGACGGCTATCTCGAGGAACTGAGCAATCAGCACAGTATGTGACTAACATGATTAGAACATTAAAAGGCCACTGACAGACTGGACAGGATTCATGTTCTCACCTTTATGTCTGTAAACACACACACTCACACACACACACACACAGCATATAAACAGCATACAAACAGTAATTTCAAAATGCATTGTTGACTTGCAGGTCAAATGTAATGCAGACAGTATAAAATAAGTTATTTTGGATGGGTTCTTTTTTTTTTTCAGTGTGTAGATAGTTTTCTTCATTGTCAGCAGTTAGTAAACATCGATTACAACAGTTATATCGACGGTGGCAGCGAGAGGACGAAACACTTCAGCATCACTCAACGTTGATCCAGCTCTTCGTTGGCACATTAGTGTCCATGCAAGTGGAGGGGAGGGGCGGCAGCCCTTCCCTGACTGGCTGATTGGCTACGGAGACGCGCCCATCGACAGCCTGGGGAAAAACAGGCTACTGGCTGTGCTCTTTGAGAATATGAAGGAGATGCAAACGGAGAGGGCGGTAAGGCAGAGAGGAAGAGCAGAGCTCATCACAGAAGATCTGACGAAGCTAGAAGACGTAGATCTTGTCTCTCTGGACGGTGTCGAGGTCGTCGTCCATAGTCAGGAGGACCTGAGAAGGAACAGGAGAGGTGATATGGATGTCCTGCTTGTAGAAACCGATTCCACTGCTGATTGAATGTTAACCAGGTGAGTCAAAACCTCTTTAAATTCAAATTGAACAATCTTTTAACTTGCAGAGGAAAGTAAACTGATGCATGACAGGAAAAAAGCCCAAATCATTGCTTTTCTTAATTGTTACATGAATGTTAAGTTACACAAAAAAAAGAATTAAGTTATGACGATATGAATTAAGTAATACATTATAGCCCTGCCGCAACAAACATGATCATACCAGGAAGGATCCGAACATGGCGATGGAGGAGAGAAAGTGCCAGATGTCATGGTCGTCAAAGAATAAAAGCAGGATACAGTCCCTGTTGTGCTCACGGGACTCTGCTGGTGTTTTCTGTGTAATCCGAGACACACACACACACAATATAAAATGTTGTATAAAGTAGGAATTAAGTTGTTTTTCCTTCTCTGTGACTAAGTGTATGTGTGTGTGAGTTACTGACCTGCCAGGTGCTCAGACCCTGGAAGAAGAAATACAGTGCAAATCCCCACACCACAGCCGTGAAGAGAATACACACCAACGCCAGACACTTGATTCTCTCACCACTCCGCAGCTAAACACACACAGAATAAATAACTTCAGATAAAGAGTACAAAACATGTCTGCTTTTTAATAAATCTAAATGAACTCAAATGCATAGATACACTCAAACACACCTTCATGATGATGTAGAAGGCAAAGTAGAGCAGCAGGTTGCAGATGGCGATGGCCAACAGGTAAGAGGCGAAGTCATTAGGTCTCTCTATGAGGCCATAGGCAGCTCTGTTGAGAGAGAGTGGGAGGAGTGGAAGGTGAACATGAAGAAAAAAAAAAAAGATGTCATCTGTCACTTCTGATTTTCTAAATTTAAATCCATGTTGTAGCCACTCAACTTCCAGATAAACACAATGTTTACTTACAGAGACCAGTTGACTATGTTCCCCATCACAAGCAGAACCATACGATCCTAAAAGACAAACATCGGGACTCAATCACATACTGTACCAACCAGTGTTTAAGATGACTCGGATATTAATAATTGAGGAACTAGATCTGTGTCAACAATGATTAACGCCCCTTAAGAGAATTTATGCTTGATGCCGTGACAACTCTTCAGCTAAATGATACAGAAGCTTCTGGTCATTACTCACGATGTACATAGGTCCACTGCACTGTCTGATGGAATCTGTGTAGATGATGTACACCATCCTGCGCAGGACCCCAGAGTCTGACAAACATATAATAGACAGATATTAGTTCAGTCAAACACTGTGAGAATCAAACCCACAGCACCAGGACAGTATGAGTCATGGGGACACTTTAAAATTACCTTATTCCTATGCAAACACCTTTACATTTACATTAACCTATGAAAAAGCATTAATAATACATTTACAAGAACACACCAAATAATATTCTGTTTGTACAGGAAGTTACATTATAGTGCTACACATTTTAGTGGATTTCAATAAAGCACTTTCAGTGTTTCAACACACTTACAATTCTTTTCTATTGTTATGCTGATTGCAACTATTGTAAAGCATAACGTTATATATTATATTATATTATAAAAATATTCCAGATTCTAAAATGTTGTGGGCACTTTGAACGTTGAATACAACAAAAGGAAATACATAAAATGAGCAGGAATATCTAACAACTAGGACTCCAGCCTGACGAGGCTAAAGCTTGTTTCATGCTGTGATCTTACCCAGCCTCCATCGGCCCATGTAGTAGAGCTGCGTGCTGAGGAGGAGAGTGGCCAGGATGTGGATCACTGAGAAAATGATCCAGAAGACTGTGTTTCCTTTCCCAAACACCTGCAAACAAACCGACACAAATTATGAAATGTGTTTGTTTTGCATGTTAAACATCATGAAGCCCTTGTGTATTTTGTGGTGTGTTATGTGTGTGTACTTACCACTCCCAGCACAGAGAAGAAGATGACTGCAGCCAGGCAGGCGTAGGCAGTGTAAGCACTTGCATTGATGTCTGGGTGTCTCTTCTGATACAGCTTCAACATGCACAGCCCAGCAATCATGTACATGAATGAAGTGTCTACAGAGCAGGAAAAGAACAAACAATAGAAGCATAAGAAGGAAGTCATTGCTGATTGTTATCACTGAGTTACCACTCAAATTTATTGTCTTTATTGCAAATGACCACGACAACAGAAAGCTGTGTGATAGATACCAGTTCACGTCAGATGTTTAGTTACTGCTAGTATTCTGCCATTATACAAAGAAACTACAGAGGACATATGAGGTCCTGCTGGGAACAGAAGCACACTTACCAAACTGGAAGTTGGTGTAGTTTGGACAGACGTGGTAGCAGGCACTGAGCAAGCCCTCCATCATCAGAGCAGTTCCCATGGCATAAAACAGTCCAAAGTGCTTTGGGATACCACATTCCTGGGGGGTGGGGGAGACGAAAACTGAACCAATAATTGAGCAATGCATTTTAATAAATAATAAAGTTGACCACATATTCCAGATTAAGTAATGTATGTTTGTGGATATGCCTGTTTCCTTTTTCCTATTTCTTATTTCTTAATCTAAATTAAGTCTACCTGTTCAGAAGATGTTAGAAGAACAAAGAGGTGTTGTTATGAATATCACAGTATCAGTATCTGCCTGTCTGCTGTACAGCTGTTTGTGTACATGTGCTTTACCAGCGCGTTGAGATCATTGCGGACCATGGCTCGATTATGGACAATATCTCTCTTGAGGACAATAAGGAGAAAGAGGAGTCCCAGCATCACGTAACCAAGGTTACTGAGTATGTTGTTGAATGCACTGTGTAAGACAAAACATTATGAGTGAGTCATAACAGACTTTAAGCCATTGTAAGCCATCCATTTAATAAATCATTCATGCATTTAAACAGCCATGCTAACTACACACCTTAGAGCTCCCAGGGGGTGGGCACACAGGAAGTTGTAGTAGCAAATGTCCTGGTTTCCTGTGACATTGACGACCTGCAGAAGAGAGAGTTAGTTTAGCATCCATCAATGTGTTGATGTTTTAACAACTTAATAACAGTCTATCTCTCACACCGTTTGATAGGTGATGACCAGCTGGATGACTGGCAGGGCGTAGAACACAGCAATGGTAGAAATGTTCCTGGAGAGAAAATAATCATTAGACTTTTTCATAGTTATGATGATAGATATGTTGGAAGGATGTCGTGCTTCATTATTCCACGTCTTTGAAACCAATGAATAACAATAATATAATTTTTATATTCTAAAATACTGTATTTTACTGTCACAACTTACTATCTTAGTTTTACTGCACTATTACTCCACTCTCTTGGAGATGCTGCAATTTCAGGGCATATGTATATAGGAATAATGTCAAAATGGTGACAAAATGCCATAAATTATAATTGGTTAATGTGGATCTATTAGACCTAGACTGGGATGTCAAGGAATCTTTGTTATCAAATGAATCTACTCTTCCATGGTATTTGTCTTTCTCTAACCAGTGACCTCACCAGAAGTAAATTTGGTATTTCTTGCTGAGGACCCTCTTGTCTTTTCGAGCCAGGTCAGACACACACAGAAATTTCTACAATAAGAAAAAGACATCAGGTAAAACAGGCAACCAACATCATGTCATGTCTAATAACTACTGTTACCTACATTACAAGCAGAGCTGACTTGCAAATTGCAAAAAACAAGTGCTGTGTATTAAATTGAAGAAGGGAGGTGCACCTTGGTGCGGACAATGTTTTTGTCTGAGTTGATGTCATCCAGCGTGTCGTAGTCATCCTCCTCCACGGAGCTAAGAGACTCCTGCCTGCTTCGGCCAACACTGTCCAACGATCGCTCTGATGAAGGGAGGGGAGACAGGAGAGGAGGACATGATGGCAAAGAGAAAAGACACTTTGTTAATTGGAGACACAATAAGAGCAATTTGGACGGGTGTTGTTCGAGCACATCACATCTTCTCATTTTTTTTTGTTGCAATTTTTAAATATATTAAACAGAAAATTTGAATGATTCTTGGCACTTTGATTTTTGCAATATTAATATTGCTTTGCTGTTCATTTCAGCATCATCAGATTAGGAATCTGGCCACTTCCTGGCATCAACATCTAACTCTCATTGATGTATGATTCACATAGTGCTGATTGGTTTGGTGCAAATCTCTGAACTGATTCGGCCAATTATGCGGCAGTGTGTCACCGATGCGGACGGCTATGTGGTGAAGGTGATTGAGGATTGGTCGACGTTTGAAAGGCTCCTGTCCTGATGAACAAAGACACACAGAAAACCAGTGAGGGACTGGAGCCGCTTGCAAAGATGCCAACTGCAAACCAAGGCTGTGGAGATATACTGCAGAGTGACAGTGGTGAGCCAAGTGACACAAACTTGTGTGCATGTTTGTCCATACCCATGTATCCGTAGTTGTTGTCAGTTGAGGTGGCACTGTCAGTGATGGCCTCAGAGCTCAGAGTGCTGCCGTTGTCAGCTGGAGAGGACGAGGAGAGAAAAAAATTATTTAATTAAATCTCCAGATCAACAAAGACTTAAACAAAACCACAACAGTCCAAAACTCACCAAAGGAGCCATATTCATACGGTGAGGCTGGAGTCTTGCCTGTGGAAACATGACCATGCATTTAAACTCCCAGCTGAGTACATGTTGATGAAATGCACAAACAAGCACCACTACAGCCAATATTTGTTAGTACCTTGCTGCTGCATACTAAAACACCACTACAGCTAAACTGTTAGTACATCAACACAGGGAGCTGAGGAAGGCATCAATACATGCAGGGATAAAGTCAAAGATTTGAGGCCCAACATTTTTTTCAGGGCTCAAAATACTTTACAAAAAAACAAACAAATGTGGGTGCCAAGAGATGGTGCAGAGGCTGATTTGTTGTAGGGAGAGGTAACTGCTGCAGTGGGAGTGAATTCCAACACACTGCAGTGATGAAGACACAGATACACACTGAGAGGGATTCTTGAGCTGAAGAAACACATCGGTGTACACATCTATCTCAATGATTATCTCTAACACTTTTTCATGGAGCAGCTTCTTTTGTTGGTCTATCATATTGTTAACATTGTTGACTTAAATGTATACACATAATACATTATGTGTTTCTTCAGTCGACAAACTGCACAGCTGTGAGGAGAAGTAGAAGGAAAACATTGTGATGAAAATGGTGAAGAACAGGATGGTGAGAATACTTTGCAGTTAGTTCTACCTGAGAAGTATCCGCATTAGTCATCACATGTTTCTGTATCTCTATGATGTGAGCCATAAAAGCTCCACCTTTATGATACTACACGGTCCACAAAGCACTATAGTATTATATTACTCTATCTTCTTTTCCATAAATGCTGTTTCTATGGCAAGAGAGTTATAGTGTATGCGCTAATGCATGCAGAGCATCTGCAGACAAGCAACACAGTGTGAGAAAAGGCAGCAAGCACACAAAAGGAGGAACTGTGTCGTTATACCATCTCCGTTCTTCCCAAGCAGAGAGGCTGAACCACACAGCATGAGGGAGAGAGAGTGAAAGACACATTCAGTACACACAGATGTTAAATTCTACATAAAACGCTGAAGAGCTAAATGGTTTAGCATCATATACACTGTATTACAAACATCTACTCTACAGTGTGTTTATGACTTTAAAAACAATGGTATGCTCCACACACTCTAATAGGCCAGTCCATCATAGCTAGTTGTTGGGTTTACCTGTCTCAGCAGGCGACATGTCCGCAGGATTCGGAAACAGCTCCCTTTTCTTATTCACTCTGCAGAAACAGAGAGGAAATGATGCAAATGAACATAATTTGCATTCCTCATAGTGCTGCTCTGGTAAAGCAGCTAAATGAAGTCTTCGATCACAGTTTTTTAAACTTCTGGGTTAAACTGAGACTGAGATTTATAAGTCTCAACAGTTTTAAACCAAAGGCCTTTTTCAATTTAATGAGGGTTGTTCGTGGCAGAGGCACGAGGGAAGAAACGAGACACGACTCCAGAGAGATAAATACAAATACCTCAGCAATGAAGAGAGGCTGTGCATATGAAGTGGATGCAGTACCTAACAGTTGTTTTGGTTACAGAGAAAAGTGCAGAATCTTACCGCTTGTTGTCCAGACAGGCCACCAGGAAGGTGAGCAGGTAGAAGGAGAAGAAGATACCCAGACAGAACAGCATGCCCATCACATACACCTTTGCTGTGGAGTGTAGAGGAAAAAAACATTTACGCCCATTCACACGCTAAGACTGCATGACCTTGAGTGAACTGCATAATGCAACAATACTACCAACAGCTCCTGGAAAGAAGCTTGTTTTCCTGCAGTGGTGTGGAATATATTACTGGCATACCCAAAAGGATTTTCTAACACAATGAAACTGATAATTTACATCAAAGACTGTGATTTGAGGCACTGTCCTTTTTGCATCCTGCCAAGCACTGCAGAAAAATTAAGCAAACAGTGCCTGATCAGACATGTTAGCTTTTTAACTGTGGATGTTTTAAAAATGCATTTTTAGTCCAGTTCTCTTGGCGCATGTTTTATGGTATGCAAGTCTGAAAAGTTTATATCTATATGTGACTTACAGTTAATAGCAGGGGTGACTACCACATCAAGAATCTTGCTGCGGTTGCCGGCATCAATCAGCTCATCAGGTCGCAGAGGGTAGAAGCGCAGTGGACCGCCACATGCCTCATCCTCTGTTTTTACCACCACTACCACATAGAAACTGTTGCTGGGAAAATCTTTCCTCTGGAAAGAGACAGGAAGACAGGAAGAGACATGAGAAGACATAACATGGCTCTGTTCATGAAGTAATGGCATCTAAACTCTAGCTATGTCACAAAGGCTTCCAATGTGTTCTGTATTTCAGGACAGTGAAACACTACCTGCACAGTGATGGCACCTTTTTTGGTCATCGTCTGGTACATCCCAATGAAGGCCACATTGTTGTCAAGGTCATAGACAGGGCACTGAAAAGAGACACGGAGGAAAAATGAAATGAGAACGATGAAGCATTGAAAGATTAAAGGCAAGAGGGAACAAGTGATTAACACATTACACATAACATCTACAATGTTTGCACCGCATTGCACTCATATTGTTGGAATAAACTCAATAATGCCTTCATGTGGCCCAAGAGTGCTACTACATGTTGACCACAATGACTGGGGCCACCTGAGGACAGCTGCTGTCTGGTTTGAGGTGACAAGGATGGGAAGTAATTGTACCTGGATGTCCTGAATAGACATCACGGAGCAGGGGAAATTCATGTCTGAGTTGACCTTCACGATCACAGTGTCCACCCCGTCTGGAAAGACATACTTGAAGTACTGAGAGAAAGGAGAAGGAAAAAAAACAGAGACAGGAAGGGTATAATTAGAGGGGGTAGGATTATCAAACATAAGTGTTGTATTTGCTGAGGATATGGATTACTTTGATTTCACAGGTTAAAACAAGATCAACCCTTTTTCTGTTTCCTGTCTTTCTTCACTATCTATTATACTGTATGAAGGAGGATGTGATAATCTCGATGACAACACACGAATGATGAATCAAATCACGACTGACTTGATGGATTATTTAGTTTTTGAAAGGCCAAGAGGAAAACATGAGTTAGTTTTCTCTTACATGTGTTGAAAAGCAGAATTTATCAGACAAATACTGAGAGAAAGATGATCACTACAAGCTGAATGGTTCTGTAAAATCAGGAATTCCCTTCATTCATAGCGACCTCTTTTAATTGCTTACTTTCCTCAGCTTCTCTCATGTTTCATCAGCATCTCCCACACTTTTAACCCCTGCTATCTACATTATTGTGACTGAACTTCTTTGTTGCAAAGTAGCACTTAATATAAAGTCACAAAGCTATGGTATCAAGCTGTTTACCTGAGGTTGGGATGGTGATGCGGTGAAGCTGAATTTCTTGTCTGTCCTGTAATCAAATAGCAAATATTATGTCAGACATACCCAACAAGTCACTTGTTGTTTGCTACAAAAGCCAGACAGATGGCACAAGCTGAGAGATCAGGTAGCTATTACACAGTGTGTTTGTGTATCAAATATACATATAATATACAATATACATAATATGAAATATCACTCACTGAAGGGTGAAGCTTTCAACGCGGCTGACCCTGAGCTGGTAGTTCGTACCCTGGCTTGACAAGGTAGACACATCCACAAAAAAGTACTGGGTTTCAGATAAAGCCCGGGTCGGAGGCTGGCACAATGTGCGGCCCACATGATTGTAAGGGTACTTCCTCTGGTAGCTGGAAACAGGGAAGCAGAGAGAGATAGAGGCTGTCAAACAGAGAAAGAAAGAACAACATAGTTTCCGTGCAAAAGAGAGTTTAGCACTTAACAAGACTTTAAATTTGTATTTACTGAAAATGGGTTGTAATCAATTATTTATTGAGAGCTATTTTCCATTGCACAGAATGGGTAGACACTTTAAATGAGGTTATGGGTGATTGTGTAAACAAAAAAAATCAGAACATAGAAACTGATTTTTTACAAAATGAATGATGGTTTTTCTATTAGATTCTTTAATATTATATGAATTAACTAAATTCCCAAGGGCTGCTGTTTAAGAATCAGATGAGCCAACTAGATAATGCATCTACAGTACTCTCTGAGCAAAATCAATAAAACCTAGCTCTAGAAAATGTTGGAAAAAGCACATAGCATAGCTCAAAACATGTAAATAGAAAGCATGTGACCGTGGCTTCGTGAGACAGAAGTAACTTCACACAGATGACTCTGAGATTGTTCATTTACAGTAAACCTGGCTCCACAGTTCTGCACTGCTGGATCTCAGAAGGGGAAGTGAAAGTCCAAGTTTTTTAGAGACCTGCTAAAACATGCCTGTCCACGGGACTATAAGCAAGATTGTGGTGAGGCCATTCTTTTGTTGCACAACCACAGAAAGTACCTCAGACTGTGGGAGACACATCACAACTGGGCTATTGGCCAATGGCTAATAAACACCTGAACTTCCAACCTGTTATGAATCCAGATTACAAAGGCTGTGTGTCCTATAACTACTGAGGTACAATCCTGGACATTTTGACTACTGAGAGGATTTTGCTATTTCTTTGCTACCAAGAAGATTGACTAGTGTTATTACTACTGAAAAGAAATAATGATTGCAATTCTAACCAAAGCTAAACCATAACATCTCCCTATCACACCTACAAGGGATTCTACAACAAGCACAGCATTTAGCATTTACACATTTACTTCTCTTACAAGGTTATTAAGTCCACACACAGCTCTCTGCACCCAACAAGGTTCATCGCATGTTATAAATGTTTGCTGTCTAAGGGATAACAGCCAGACACTCCCAAGGAGGAACCTTGGACTATTACTTTATGTATAGTCTCTGTGTGCGCAGTAAATTACAAGAACAAACATAAAGGCCTAGTTTAAAACTAAGTTGGAGGGACACAAGCCTATTCAGTGTTGTAGGGAATTAGTCCACTTACAATTGATTTGGACAGTTTATGCACTGTGACAAAATGTTATGACTAATTATAAATATAGCTAATTTGTACTGATGACTATTGTGTTCCCGTTGCTTTCTCTAAGCAGGGTGTGCAGTTCAAATTCCATTTGAATTCCAGCAGCTGAACATGTCATTGCTCAATTTGACATACATAAACCACTGAACATGACTCATTAGTGTATCTTATATAAAGACACATATATAGTATACAGTATATAACCCACAAAGCAACATATTACTGGAAAATGTTGTGCTACAAGCAGCTGACACATACTGTATATAATTTCCAAATTTACCTACATACCGTCATACTGGGGCTAATCTCGGCCCTGCTCTACAATTTATAGAATATTATTTACTGAGATTTAGACTCATAGGCTGTTACTATCACAAGCAGATAGCGGTGAAGCATTTAAGCGATAGTCTCAGGTAACAAAACAGAAATGTTGTTGGACTGTTAGGAGTTCATTAATGTTTCACTGGATGTTGTTGAACTTGAGAAAGCTGAGTAAGTTGCAATATAAAAGGGTTGGTTTAAAGAAGTGAGGGAACATAACACAATCTTCTTGAGTTTCTTTAAGCTGATTTTGAGAGATTTTTGTAAAGTGGGAATACTCACAGGCCTCTTAGGATGAGTGGGACTTGGAATGACAGCACAGCTTGCTTCTGCCTTACCACAAACAGGATAGGACTCTCAAAACCCTGTGACAACACATCCACAGACACACGCACTCCCTCTGTCTGAAACCCAAAGAAAGGGGAAAAAAAGATCATGTTACACTCCATATTACTTGGTATAATTAAATGAGAAACAAGTCTACTAACTGATAATGTAAACTCACCCTATTCCTGGAGACTGTGTGATTGAAAGCATAGATGGTCTGGTTTTCACTTGTAACCGTGTCATTATAGGTGACATCAAACTCTGCATCTTTCTGGACCACACTTTTGGTCTCCCCCACCGCACCACTGCCGCAACCTAACTGGGTCACACATAACCAGAGCAGGGCTGCCAATCCGGGTTGAATCCAACAAGGTCCAGAGCTGTTTTTATGTCGAGATTTCCAGCAACTCCTCAACAACATTTTGTCTGCCACCGTCTTCCTGAACTGACAACTAATTCCTCACGTTATTCTAGCCTGTGCGGCAATACTAATAAAAACTCCACCCCATTCAGCAACAAATACTCGGATAGCAAGCTGGCTAGCTTAACGGTGCCACTACTAGTAGTGACAAACAATAACAGCAGCTGCTAGCTGACAGGCTAAAGAGACAGTGGGATGTTTACATTAAATGAAGACTCGTTCCTCGTCCAATTGACATCCGTGACAAATGCCAAGCTGTCAGTAATGCAACCAATAACACGGGTATCAAGACAACAAGATGACAGCAACACTCAGTTCCGCTTCATTTCAAACACCAAAGCCTTGTAGGGTGCTAGCTAGTGCTAAGGTTAGCATTGTTGGTTTGAACGCTGGTAAGGCAGCTCCATGTTTTGATATCCGAGTTCAGATCATGCGTCGCGGACTGTGTCAAAAATAAAACAGCAGCAAGTGTTTTTCAAGTCTGTCTAATATGAACGGTTGTCACGGCCGGTTGTCGCAGCATTGTGTGGACAGTTCTCGTGCGGAGGGTGAAGAGATTCAGAGTGTTTACAGTGTGAAAAATCTGTACCACTAGCGCCCCCACCACGCTAACACAGTAAACAAACCGAGGTCGACGTCATGACGTCATGTGGCTGCCCTCTACTACTCAAATGATCAGTGCAGGAGGTGATATGAAGAGATATAAGAGTTTATCAACAGGAAAATTAATAATGCGTAGGTTTATATAATTTATATGATCTTTTATCATGTGGTTTATGGGGTGGAATTCCTCCGTAATTCATCCTGGTACATAGTTTGGACCGTGTTTTTTGTGTATGACACACCTCGTTGTTGTGAATAAAGACATTAAAAAATGTCACTGAAAAGATAACTCAAATCCAGCTCAGTTCACAGGTACTTTTAAACAGTCATTCTTTATTAAAATTGAAACCATTTGGGGTGTGTCTATGTCATCTTATTGAGAAGATGACAAAGCCCTAATTAAAAAGAACTACAGTTGTAGTTGCTGTCAATACATTTTGGTATAGACCAGTAATAATCACATAGGGAAGAATGCAGCAGTTGAATGAGCCATTTAAACAACTAATAAGGTCACAATACAGTCATAATTATGTATTTGAATTGGAGCTGTCTTTAAGCATCACTTTTCAATTGACAGTTTGATGTTGACATTGGATATTAACTTGATAAAAACATTTTCATATTCAGACTATGGGTCTGTCTGTAATCTCTGTATATAACCTAATACTAATTGGGTAAATAAGATGTTGGGCCCTATTGACCCCCCTGCCTTTGACTCCATGTATTATGTATGTGGCAGTTCATTTGTTGAAACACATTTATCTGGGAATATGAACCACATTTCCTCAAAACTAGATTTTTGGCACAGGCCCGATCTATAAACCAGGGTTCAGAGTTTAGGTAATAATGCAGGACCTGCATTTAGACACAAATCCTTTCACCTGACATAGTTATTTAATAGGGCATAACTATAACAAAACAAGTCTGCAATTAATCAAATTACCAAAAACCAACAGACATATTGTGAACCTGGTTCTTTCTGGGGGTCTGGGTGTCTGGCACTCAGAGAAGCTACTTATTGTGCTCAGTTGGTAATCCAGGAGTAACAGGATGCAGGAACGCCTCTCCAACATGGAGTGGTGCTGTCTACAATCTGGTGAGAGGGATATAGAATAGAATAGAATAGAATAGAATAGAATAGAATAGAATAGAATCAGTTTTCCACACACCAAAGCCCATTTAGAGGACAGCCTATTCTACAGCATGTCTGCAGTGCAGGTTACAATAAACTGCTGCATGATATGAAATCACCCCTATTATTTTTTGTTAATCATTTTTGTATCCATTATTTGAGTTTCTGATTTTTAAGAAATATATGTTTGTAGGTTTTCAACCCATATGTATTACATATTTATTGCTAATGTTTGTTTTGATCTTTTTGTCCTTTTAACATTTATTCAAAATTTTCTGTTCTAATGGATAACTTCAGAAAACTTCAGCAAGTACTATTTGCTTTTATTTTCCTGCAGGGCACACTTGCAAAGTTACACCCTTATAAATAAATATTTAAATTGTGAATTATGAACACAGAGGAGAACGTTTATTCTGCGCGTGCTCGTGTGTGCTTGCGTGTGTATTGGGGAGTGGGAGTGGGGGGTAGGAGCAATGATGATCATCTCAAGCTGCAATCTTCTCTTTGTAAAGACTGTAGAATCAGAGAATTTAATTACAGTGGAAATGCAGTCGCTGCTTTTAGTGTTCATTAAGAGATCTTCTCAGAGTCTAGTATCCTCAGAAGGTCAGGGCCATTTCTCAGCACACTAGTGACATTTGCCTATACAGCGAATCTAAAATAGTACAAGGCTAAATAATTTGAAAACAGAATATTATAAACAGATATCGTTTCATTTAGCTTTGAATCTTATTACAGTATATGGCACAAACAGTAGGCCCATTAATTGCCAAGATCTGCAGACTCGACCACTAAAAACTGTGTACATTTCTTTGTGTAAAAAATAATAATGGCATGTGTATTCGAGTTCTATGATCGAGTAAAATAGATAGATAGATACTTTATTCATGTAAAATTCATGTAAATTTCGAATTTCGAATGTCTATTTTGCTCAACTAGATTATTTGAATCTCTCATTGTAATATTAGAGCTGCGTATACCTTTAAAGCCTCATGAGCCCGTCTGATCATACATAGTGCAGCAGTTTGCAAGGAATCACTGAATCATGGGAACCAGAGTGATAATGCGCACTTCTTTGTCGTCAAGGCAACCACAATACGTTTTTGTGGATGAAGTCATTTGTTACGCTGATCGTTACCATGGTTACAACCTAGAGAGGGCGCTGCGGAGGAGCGTTCCACGTAAAATGACGCAGGGCGGGGGCGTGCCCGCGATGCGCGCTGCGCAAGGCTGCTTGTTGTTCCCGCAGAGAGGCGAGAAGATGGCGGCCGTGTCAAGCGGAGGTGCTGCTGGGTCCGCTGCGGCCGGGATTACGCACTCTGCCCGACCGACCCACGCAGTAATGGGCTCCCAGAACCGAGCCCAGCCATCCTCCGGGATCAGCCACTCCAGTCGTACCAGCACGGCCACTGGGTGCATCACCAATCCTGGCCACACTTCGGCCAACAGGCCCCCCCCAGCCCGAGTGGGCCACTATGAAATCGAGCGGACCATTGGCAAGGGAAATTTCGCGGTTGTTAAACTAGCCACACACATCATTACCAAAGCAAAGGTAAGACGACTGATGTCCGCGCGTTTGAGGTTAACAAGTAAAAGTTGTCATTGTTTAATTTCAAGCTTATTCGACCATGTATTCAGGATGACGCTGGGGCCTTCAGGCTCCGGAGACACAACGGCCAGCCCGCTTTGGTGACACCGCTGCTTGGTGTTGGGGGGGTCCGTTCGACACGGGGCATCACCTCTTACTACTGGATACAAACACGTTTACCACAAAATATGTCTGATATCACACATTAAGTAGTGGTATTTTTAAAGAAAGACAGAAAGGCCCGAGGTTAATGTGTGGCAAAGCGCAGAGGACGGAGAGAAGGGTATTGACGAAGATGAAAAAGAGGAGACACAGAATGTTCCGACTGGAGTAGCTAGCTTAGCTTCCTAGCTAATTAGCTGTTTGGCTAGATAGAGATATCTATTCAGACAGGCACAAAGTTAAAAGTTTGCAGTGCTGTACTGGATAACTTTAAATTAACTAAGCATTTGCAATGTTGTTACGTGTATGTTGCCCAAGTATTGAAAGCTCTCTGAAATTCATCCGTAAAAGTATCACCGAAAACTGGTTAAAGCCAACTATGGCAGAGCCAGAGACTGCCTTCGCTTTTTAATTTTTACGCTAACTAGCTTGAAAGAAAATTGTTATTCGCGTTGCTTTTGTAATTGCGTGTTAGGAAATCTTACTAATGAAACACAGCCATGTTGTCACAGTTAAACTTAACCGTGTTGTTGAAACGGTGTTTTTGATTCGTTTACTAGTTTTGTGGTATGTAGACATTTCAGTCAACAGTAATATGACATTTTCATTAAGACGGACATGAAAACATTGTCAGGGCAAAATAAGTGGTTTCCTAACTACCATCACACACTTTGAGCCTACGTAGATGCCTTTGCATAGAGTTGGGAGCCAGTTAGCAGCATACTAGATGATTGACACACACTATTATCAGCAAATGATATTCATGCAAAACTCTATCATTCTTGATGAATAGATGCATTACATAGGGCTTTGCCAGAAGTCAGTCCTCAGTTGTTAATTTCTAACTCTGATTATTGACACTTAAGATTACACCCAAGCTTTTTGAGATGGGCCTTTTAGTGTTTTTGGCAAGCAGAAGGCTTGGACCTTGATAATAGGTAGGGGAAGTTTGGGGCATTAAAAGAAGGAAGGCATTGCTCAAATACTCCAAGTAGTGTCTTTATTTTGTGCTGACCTATTGGATCAGGAGCCTCACTGTCTCAAGGCTTTATTTGCTTTTAAGTTGTCTATTGTGACTCCAAATATGTTGGCTACCACCCCAGCCAGGAAGACTCCTGGCTGGTAGCATCAGCCTACAAGGACCAAAACAAACTTATCAGAAAGCTTCACTTGGAACATGTGACAACAGCAGTATCAGTACAATTTCTGCTAATAACCACTTTCATTTCCAGCCTGTTGGAGAGCTTCTGCTCAGGACCATACTTTTAAGTATGGTGACTCCAGAAGCCTTTCTCTAATGATATGACTATTGTCATCATGAACATTCCTTACGCTTGGTGCTTGGTTGAACACTCAAATAGGGGTAGCTGAAGCCTACACTTAAAGTCAACTTCTGCAATATAATTGTTTTTTTTTTCTACATGATGAAGAGCCCTTAATTCTAATGGTACAAATAAAGGTGTGTCAAGTCAGCTGAGAGTGCAGCTTTACCTCTATGCCCTTGTTGACATACACACAGACAGGCAGACATGGGTCATTTATCTGCTTTGCGCCACATAGCCTAGGGAACCTTCCATTTAGTTTCATGAGGCCAAAATAAACTTGGATAAGTGAGTGCCATGGAATGATTTCCAACACTGCAGAAGACATTTCTTGAAGGGCTTTAAATATGTTCATCAGACGACAATATAATTTAAAGTCTAATAGGTATGGGAGCAGTGTGTTCAATCTCTTTGTAAGAGCAATACAAAGACAGTAGCAACGTAATAATGAGAGATTGATGAGCTGGTTATGAAGCTTTATTCCTTGTGTGTGAGCCTGTTTATGCTTGTCTGGATATGCATGTGTCTGTGTCTGGCTGTCTAACTGAGAGTGAGAGACAAGCAGAGGACAAAATTACAGTGGAAAATGGACTGACAGAATGAAAGAGAGGCCTTGTTTGTTGTCTGTTGATGGTGGTCTCAGACGGACCAGTCAGTTCATCATTTTCATCAACTAGTGTAGAGGTTTCAGAGTCCCCAGTTGCTCATGAATATCAGAAGAATAGGAGTGTGCTTTCACATGCCTGTGGATATCATGAATATGGATATGATGATCAGTCATCAGATGAAATGCGCTTTGGAGCCTTGTTTTATGGTCTAGGTTTTATAACAATCCAATGAGATATGCTGACTAGTCAAAAATAGCCTAACAACTCTCTCAGTTGTTAGATGGAGCTGGATGATACCCTGCAGTGCAGTCACACTGAAGAGGACCTGACTATTTATACTTGGTAGATCTAGAAGCCCAGAGAGAGATGGTCCCTTTATATGTCTCATTTGCTCTCTGTTGCTTTTAAACCTAAAACATTCAACAGGCAATATGTTTCAGGTTTATTTTACCAACACACACTATCATTTTAACCATGTATTTTCCTAATACTTGTGGCACAGGTATTTTTGCTAACACAGAGGCAGTCACACAACACAAACCTTCAGTGGCAGATAGCTAGTGTGCTGCACCTGGATGTTGTAATAGTGAAAGTTCATTTCCTCCAGACAAAGGTCAGCGAGTGAAGTGGAAGTCAAAACAGGAGTTTTTATGCTTTCACACAGATGCTATGCTAGAGGCCTATGGGCCACGCTTTGCTGTTGTCTTGATAAATGTTGGTTTCATTGTTCAGTCTCTCCATAAACTTTATTGCTGGTCACGACCCTTCAACAAGGGACATGAGTTTTCTATTAGCTCAGGGTGACACAATAAATGACTTACTTCAGGTGTAGCTCTGACCAAACTATCATTGCTTTTGATATTTATGATTGTTTTCGATTACTGCAGCAGCACCAACAGCCAGTGTGTTCTCTCTGATTTTCATTTTTGATTTTTCTAAAATGAGGTAGGAGCCTGGGTCAACTTTCAGAAATAGCTGAATTTTAGTTGCTGCCAAGCACTGTGAAATAAAGATTTAAACTAATTGACATGCAAAATAAATTGTCATTTATGAATAACAATTCAATTTTACAAAGTTCGCAGATGATGATAAATAATGTAACTGGTAACCTTTTTATCTCTTTTTATGTTTATTTTTTAATTTAATCAATTACTTGTTTAGTCTGTATAACTTCAGAATTTCCCAAAGCCTGAGGTGACACCTTTATGTAGCTTTCTTTGTATGACCAACAGACCAAGGCAAATATTTTTAATAATTATATAATAATGATATAAACTGAGATCAACAGTAAATCGTTGCTTAATAAATCACAAATATATTACTAAAATTGTTCGGACAAATTTTGTGCTAATAAACTGTTTACATTAGAAAATATCCCAACTGAATTCCATGACCGTGTCCATTGTTTGATGTAACCAGTCAAAGCCAGTACTCACTGATGTGTCATGATTTTCTAGTACATCTTCATTTCAGGCAAAGTCCTTTAAAATATTCTCAAATGTTATGGAAACTTTAAACATGATGTAGGACTTGTACAGAGACTAAATGTTCACAGTATATGCACATTGCTTCTTGGGTATGATAGAAAGATAGCTAAATTGAAGGAATTATTTTTGATGACTGAGATTATGGAACCAATCATCCCGCACCATAATTTGATAGCCTATTAATTAGGCCTGTAGTCGCCTTTAGTTTCAATGCACTTTACTTGAGATGATATTTCACATCCTGACCACTTTAACAGGTGGCAAATTTGCACATTATTTTGCATATCCTTTTAACAGCCACTGTCAGCTATTGTATGGAATTGTTTTTTTATGCACAGTAAATTAATTAGTCAATGAAGTCCTTTCATCATTCATTATCTTTCTGGCCCTGAAAGTTTTAGAAAAGGTCCATTGCTACCACTCAGGTATAATAAATCATCTTCAGTCCTGGCTGGCCTTTCTATGGTGAGTGCTAATTTTCAGTGATAATGATGACACAAGGACATGTGATGCAACCAGAGTGTTGCAGAACATACTTGTAATGTTATTTTTCAGGGCAGCATAATTTTTTCCACTACTGATGAATAATTATACATTTATTTGCTGAAAATGTATAAATAATAATTGGTGATTACCATCAATGTTCTGTCATGTAACTGACAAGTTGTGTTCGCCTTGGTAATCTGCCATCAAAATATGTGCAGCTTTTTGTCTTAAGTAAGGTACCTGTATGACAGCAATGTACCAGATTTAAGTAGCTATTTTAGCACAAGCTTTTACTTGTGTTTGTCATGTTTGATAAACCCACTAAAATACAGTGAATGTTTGTGTATGTGCATACTTGTGAAACAAAGGTGGTATGGTCTTTGTATGAACCCGACTAATGATCAAGTAAAGAAAAGCCCTCTGTCTTTTTGTGCCCACAGCATGGTGAGCGCGATTGGTAAAAGATGGCACTGTGCTGCGTGTCCTGACCTGCCTCTCTGTGGGGAAGCAGTTTTTTTCCTCGTTCTTTTTCCTGTCTTCTCCCCTTTACTCTCGAGTGTTTTTTAGGCAAGAAAAGGATGAGCAGGAGGAAGAGGGCAGGCAGGATGGCAAGCGTTAGGTAACAGGCCTAATGTACTGTGTAACAATTTCACTCACTCCCTCAGTCACACTCGCACACACTCGCGCACAGCTCTATTAACATACATCATCCCCTCTGTTTCTCAAAAACACACATAGTCACATTCAAATATGATTTAATTTAGGTAAATAATATGACAGAGGCGGCATTTCTGCTTGACTTATCTTCTTGGCCTCTAGTCATCTGCTGCTGCATCCTCAGTTGTGTGAATCTGCAGCCAGCCAGCTTCAAAAGGGGAAGAACACAGTCCAGACTCTGT